TTTGCTATCTCCTTCTAAGACAAATAAATAAATAATTTTTGCTTATATCTATTTAGTGTCCAACAAATTATCAACAGTTTATTTTAATTATAATTTTCTCTAAATGTCATCGATTTAATTAAAAGTAAACATACAGTGGATGTCGATTTTGGTAAAAGTAAGTTGACCGTGGCTGTGTGGATTAGAAGAACTGTCAATCTCTAAACTTTTAATTAGTACCTACCTTATAACAGAACACGACAAAAGTATACTTAAGTTCAAGATTAGATTCTAAAGCCAATTTAGCATTTTTTTAAACTCAATCAAGTTTGAGAAGGTAAAAAGTTTTACTTTTTAATGTTTGTTTACTTAAATTCAAATTTTATTTGCAGTTTATTATATCTGTCATAATCGATATGGATTCAAATTTATCTAGCGATAGCGAATTTGATAATACTCCCCCAGATATCTTATGCAGTGCACAAAAGGCCACTGAAAATTTATTGCCAGAAAAATCTGCATATATTTATCAGCAAAAATACAATGCATTTATAGAATGGTGTAGGAAGAATAAGGTGAGAAAATATTCGGAAATTATTTTAGCATATTTCTCTGACGAATTGAAGAATTGCAAAGCTTCTACCCTATGGTCGATTTATTCTATGCTTAAAAGCACCTTAAAATATAAAAAACAACGTTGATATTTCGAAATTCAACAAGTTAATAGCGTTTCTCAAACAAAAAAAATAAAGGTTATAAACCAACAAAATCCAAAATTTTTGAACGAGAAGATCTAATTAATTTTCTGTTGAAAGCTCCAGATTCCAAGTTTTTAATGATCAAAGTAAGTAAATGCCTCAGTAAATGCTTGAATGCTCAGTATAAAATTAAAATATTCTGTAAATTTTTGCAACGAGATGTGTGTTCGTATGGTGTGTTGCCTAACAAAATCAGTTGCTGTCCTATCAGGCCACCGAGGTTGTTAGGCAGCACATTATACCTAAAACTTTTATATTGTTTACAATAGCATTTATTTGGAGTTTTACATGCGCAACGTCAAGATATTTCCTAATGTTTAATAAATTATTTGTAACATTACAATATGTTATTTTTTAGGTAGCTTTTATAATTGGAATTGCGGGAGCTTGTCGCCGGGAAGAATTAAGTAAAATGACAATTAACGATGTGGAAGATAAACAAACAGTGTATATTGTCAAAGTATCTGAAACCAAAAATGGAATAGAACGCATTTTTACGATTTTAAATCCAAATAATTCTGCAGTTGATTATTTATCTTTCATAAAAAAATATACCTCATTAAGACCATCAAATATAAATTGTAACAGATTTTTTTTAAAATTCTCAAATGGAAAATATTCTAAACAGCCTGTAGGGATAAATACTTTTAGTAAAATTCCAAGTGTTATAGCAACGTATCTAAACTTGCCCAATCCAACGGCTTTTACAGGACACTGCTTTAGGAGGTCTTCAGCCACTATGCTGGCAAATTCTGGAGGAGACCTTCTAACGGTCAAAAAACATGGAGGATGGAAATCATCTGCTGTTGCAGAAGGCTACGTAGACAGCACAATAACACAAAAAAACAAAATTTCTAATAAAATTTTGATGGATGACAGTATGCCATCCACTTCCAAACAAAGCTACAATTTTACGGTTGACAACTCTAATAAAGAATTAGTGGAACCACTCGACAGTGAAACTAGAGTTACACAAAATATTTCAACCTCTTTACTTGAAAAGGCCAAATCCATACCACTCGAAGCTCAAAATAGGGTTACAGAAGTAATATCACAACATTTTTCAAACTCTGTGCTGGAAAAGGCCAAAACCTTAAGTTTTGGTAATTGCAATAATTGCACATTCAATATTAATATTCATAAGAGTTAAAAAAACTATTTTTTTAAATATTTCTTCATTTGTTAGTCATTTTGTTCTGTAAGAATTATAAATTTGTAAAGTTCCAATAATATTATTTTTGTTGCTGTGTACAATTTTTGGCACATTTTACTTTTTTTCACTAGTGCGTAAAGTAAAGTACTTTTTTTCATTAGTGAAAAAAAGTAACTTTTATATTTGTAATATTAGTTGATTATGTGTACGGTAGTAGAAAAAATATTGTATGCCACTCGTACTTTACACTCATGTGATTGTCGCACTCGCCTACGGCTCGTGCGACAATATTCACATTCGTCAAAAAAGGGTAACTTTACACACTTGTTGCATAAATAACTATTTTCAACGTTTAATAAAAGTTTACACATTTTAGTTATTTTCATCTTTTGTTTACCACTGCTGAGGTATTATTTTCAAAAGATTATGGGCATAGATTTGTAGCGAAAATAGAAGAAAATAACTAAGAAAATATTAATAAGTAAGTTAAATTATATTATCAGAAACTGGATGTTCCATTGAGAAATTAGAAGAACAAAGCAATTTTATGGATGGGAAATTCCAAATTAAAATTCAACTGCATACAATGAATGCATGAGAAGAAGTAGAAGGAAATTTGGTGTATCAACAAAAAATGAAAAAAGTTACTAAAATTGAGTATACTGCTCAAAATATAATAGTTACAAGCCTAAGTTCTCAAGTTAGGCAACTTATTAATATGTGCGAAAATGCAAAAGATATGTTGGTTAAACTGTTAGGACTATATGAACAGAGGACAAAGCAAGACAGGATCGCCTATTTAATACGTTTTTTGGTATAAAAGAAAAGGTGTCTGAAGACAGTATAGCCAAGCATATTACGAGCCTCGAGAAAATTTGGGTTAAATTACAGGATGAAACCTGAAAAGAGGACAAACTGAAGCTACCAGAATCTTTATTCCTGAATAAGGTCCTTAATACTTTGCCATCTCAATATTTTGAATTTGTCAACGCATGGGAGTCTGTTCCAAAAGAACAGAGAAATATAAATCTTTTAAAAGAACGACTTTGTACTGTGGAAGTACATTTGAACGAGCGAAATGCAGATGCAGCTGACGCTTCAAGAAACTCAGCCTTGTATGTTTCCAGAAGGAAGCCTCACGTTTCTAGCAGTAACAAAGAAATTCAAAAGTAAATTCAAATGTTATCGCTGTAGTGTCACATGCCATTTTAAAAAGTGGTCAATTTTATCAAATGCTTTTTGAAAATCCGTGTAAATTGCATCTACCTGACCTGCTGAGTCAAGAATCTCAGAAGTATATTGGGTAAAGCAAACTAGATTAGTAACAGTAGATTTTTTTGACATAAAGCCGTGCTGTTGTTCACTTATACCAGTTTTGACTGAAGTGTAGATAATGGCATACAGGATAATTTCAAAAAGCTTACTAAAATTACATAAAATTGCTGTGGGCCTGTAGTTCGAAATAACAGTCGTTTTTAAATGTTGGACATATTTTTGTTAATTTTCATACTTCAGGGTATGAGTTAGATTTTAATATCATATTGTAGATAACCACCAGTGGTTTAACTAGAATATGTATACAATCTAGGAATGTTATCACAACCAGAAGTCATTTTATTTTTTGGATGCATTAAGTACGTCAAGTTCAGATATACTATAAAGCGCTATATGCGTACTATTAACGTTGACAGGTTCTGATGCAATATGAAAAGGGTTGGAGTGTAAGAAGACACTTGAAAAAAATGTTGAGAAGGCATCAACAATTGATTGAGGACAATCAAATGCTTCAGATTCCAAAGACATGCTTCCTGGTATTCTTGATTTACCACGTTTTATATTTACGAATGACCAAAATTTTGCGGGATCATTATTGATGGCATCTTCAGTGCTTTGTATACAGGGTGTTTCCGAACTTGGCGTCCAAATTTGTAGGGGTGGTAGTTCGCATAATTTGAGAGCGATTGGCAGATATCATTTTTCTGAAAAAATTATAATAAACAAAATAGAGCCATTATAAAAAAATCAAAAAGCGGGTCCTACCCTGAGCGCGTAGCGCAATATTCGCTTGATCGGTTACTCATCGGGATTTATAACGCAAAACAGATACGATTTGCAATTTTGTCGATACTAAAAGTAGCGCGCGCGAGTCGAGGCGTCCCGTCACTCTACAGGACCATACTTGTTTAAAATTTTTACTTAATTTTGAATTATTTCTATTTTAAATATTTTGGAAAAATGATTTCTGCGAATCGGTCTCAAATTATACGAACTACCACCCCTACAAATTTGGACGACAAGTTCAGAAACACCCTGTATATGTAGCATATGAAACTTGTTGAAATTTGTTGTTATATAGCCTTCTTAGCTGTTTAAATTTATTATAATAAGATTCAGCTTTATATTTTTGTAATTAATTCTCGCGTTGTTTTTAGCTTTGATACTATCTATAATTTCTTTTGTAAACCAAGGTCTGAAAATGTCTGAAAATAACATCATTATTATTCTCGTAGAGATTGGAACATGCTTGATCAACATCAGTATCATAATTTATGCAAGACCAATATATATTTTAAATATGCAAATGTCAGTATACTCCCCAAAAACTTAACAAATTTACTAGTGCGGAAAAGTGACTCTTTCGACACTAAAATGAGTGCGGAAAAGTAGAAAGTAGAAACAAGTTTTTTTTTATTAACTTCACTTTTGATTTTGTCATATTGATTTTTTTCAACGTTTATTAAAAGTTTACACATTTTAGTTATTTTTATCTTCCGTTTACCACTGCTGAGATGTTCTTTTCAAAAGAAAGAAATGTATTCTTTTCAAAGTTATATTAAAAATAGTTTTACCATGGTTTTACCCAACCCTGTATGAAAATGAAACTGTCACAAATTCAAAAACATTATTACAATATTTTATTGGGTCAGATATCGAGATATGCGAATAAATTGATCCAACTCTAAAACTTATTTGGACAAGGAATCCATTTAGCCATAAAAACAAACAAACGTAAGCCGAATTTCTCTTCCAAGTTCCAAAATCCGATAAGAAAAACGCTCCTTCGAGTTCAAGCAAGACGCGCATTCCGCGCGAGTTCAAAATATACTTACGTCTTTTTTCATCGCGTCCAATATGAGGGTCTTCAACTCGTTGAGGCAGTTATTTATCCTCGCCCTCCGCCTTTTCTCCATAATGGGCTTGTTACTCTGCAAAAAACAAGAGAAAGGAAATGAACAATCATAATCAAAAGCGGCGAAACCGTGGGAACCGACAAAAGACGATCCAAAATTATAAGATTAATTGGAGAGACGCGTGCCTCGGAATCTTTCTCAAGCCATCTGTTCACTTGAGAGATGGGAATGCAGTTTTATCAGAAATATACAGAATATAGAAAAACTTGGTATAGTGTAAAAGTAGCGTTTAATAAAATATGTCAATGTTTTTAGTTACATTCGCGATGAAATGTAATTCTCATTAAATTCATAAATGACTGGAATAATATTTATAACAACTACTACTATGTACAGATGAAAACAAGATTATTAGATTAGAAAATCATCTTAAGGCTGTTTTCGCGGTTCACTATTTTAGCATTATCCATATATCTTAATTATTTATCATCAGTATAATTTCATTTTTGCTGAAGTATTCAGAAGCAGGGGCGGTTTCTCTATTGGTTCATTTGTGCAGTGAACATTCAGTTAAATTTCATATATTCAGGTACTCATTCCTCTTTGATTTGCTCGAAAAGTTAAAATTTTATAAAAAATTACATTGGCTGTTTAAAAACTCAGTATAATCCCTGAAATGTGATAATTAGGTAAATTAAATTAAAAAACAAATAAAAAAAGTTTATTAAATTAATATTTACTCTTACAAAATAGGTTCTTGTAAGTTAACAAGCAATTATGCAGATATTACTAAGTAAATGTACTTGCTTAAAATTCACACAGGAATGTGGTTTTAACATGTTAAATTAACTAACCCTTCTTATAACTCTTTCCACATGTATTCTTAGAGATGCTATTCTTTTACTTAGTTATACATCTTCTGGATAACTTTTTTCATTCTGTGATACACTAGGTGTGGCTTTACTAAAGTGCATCCCATGTTTTCAAGTAGCTGAATATTCTGAAACCCATATCTGCCATTATATGGGATCCAGGAACCAGTTTGTTTAAATACCCACATTTTTCTATTATTTCTTTATCACTAGTTCTTCCACAAAATGATGAATAAATTCGGTATCTTCAAAACTTTCAGGAGATTCTGCATTTTCTTCCAGAAGGGTTTTTAGGTTATACACCTAAGAATTTATAGTAGCCTTATTTTCAATTTCCTGAAGGGGACAATTAGCAGAAATTGCTGCTACATCTTGATAATCCGGTGTATTTTTATTAAAAAGTTCACGAGAAACATCACTAGTAGAAGGTTGATTTTCTTCTTTCCAAATTTCTAGGAATACTAATAATTATTTTTGAAGATGAATGTGAATCATTATCACATTCTGGAACAAAACATTTTTTCGTAGTCATAATATTTATAAAAAGTACAAAATTAAACACTCAAATTCCAAATAAATTCTTGATCGAGACACTATGATGACAGATGCCATACACAGTGCTGCCATTTTGCCATTTTCTGAATTATTAAGTGACTTTAAAAACAATGAAACTTTAAATATGGTAAAAGTTTAAACAGAAATAATACTTTCAAAAAACATTTGATATTATATATTAAAAAGATATTTGTTTAACGATGTTTTAGAAGTCTAAAAGTAAGAAGGAGTACACAAACGAACGTACATCACTTTTCGTAAACCTTCTAGCCGGCAACGTTGTGGCGCTAGCTCCTATTGGTCTATTCCCGGTGACGTCATAAATTTAAAAAAAATCATAACTCCGGCAAATGAACAAATAAAAAAAAAAATAAAAAAAATGTAGTTTTATTTTCTACTCTATTATTCATAAAAAAAATTTCAAAATTTTTGAACATGCCCCATTGTGAAAATGATTAAACTAAAAATGGTAGGTCAAGTTTCATATAAAATTTTTTACACAAAAATCATGTCAAGCTTTCTACAAACCTGATATATTTAAAAATAATCTCAAATTATGAAGAAAAGTCAGTTTACTAACTAATAATGTTTATAGATGGTTTTTAATGTATTAAAAACAAAACAAATATCGCTGCCGGGCCCCCATTTGAGCCCGGGCCCAGGGAATTAGTCCGGCTGCCCCCCCCTCTAGTCAGCCCTGAATATTATGAATGAATGCTGTTTTTTTTTTTTAATCTTGGAAGTAATTTTGTAGTATTTAGGCTCCACCCTTAAGTTATATTTTTTATATCTACTAAACTATCTTTGCCCCGCAGGTCTTTCAGTTTGTAATGTAAATTTTCCTCTAAAAAAAAATGTAATTATGTAAGCTTTATTGTCGTTTTATTTTGTAATCTTTACATATTTTGCATTTTTGTATTGTAGGCCTGATGGAGGTCATTTTAGACCGAAACTAGTTGCAACAATCTGATTTAATAAAAAAATTATATTGTGGTATTGATTTTGAGAAATTTTCTTGCTAAGTAATAGGTAGGGTCCTATTACAATTAAAAGAACAGCTATGTCATAACCATTACTTTGAATTTCTAATTCATATTATCTATAACTTTTAATAAACAAAAATTAAGTGAGTTGTTAGGTGTAAAACAATATTTCCTATAATCCTATAATATTAATCCCCATTAGGCGGCGATAACTAATTATTTACTCTACCAAATGATGACGTAGCTGTGTTCTTCTAATTGGAATCGAACCCTATATTATTATTTCGTCTACCTAACACTGATACTAAAAGGGAAGACAGTAACTATAGAAATTTGGAGTCGTTACATTCATGTATTCTCTTTTTTTTTTTTTGAAAAATTATTATTCTCTATAGAATTGCTTAATCTCACACTTATTTTTTATGCCATGAGTCTTTTTTAAGATCAACAAAATAAAATTTGCTAATTGAAGTTTAATGCTACCCAAAAATACTCAGACTCCGGCCCGCAAGTGAATTTTACACATCCTAATTTACCCGACGAGAACGATATTTGATCACGGTCAGTCTGGTTCTAAAATTAAAAGATCAGATAGTCGTCCTTTCGGGTTTTGCCAGCGGTCTGTCAATGAGGCACGCGTACGCACCGTGCCAGTCCATAAATTTTTTTACAGACAAAAGTTGTTATTTCCCACGGTCTCCGATGCTTGTTCCAAGTAGTCTCTGCGGGTTTTTAAGACGCGCACGGCCTGAATAAGCCAGACAGAGATATAGAGGATAAGTGGGTAGAATAAGATAAAGTTAAGCAGTTTGAAAAAATTCCTATTCACTTATGTGTGAAAAAAGGCACTAATACGTTGGCTGTTGTCATAAATTTAATAAGAAATATGTACATAATTATTTACAGTTTTGGTATATCTAATTTATTAAAATTTAAGGTTTTATTTATCCTTATATGAGATGTGCAGGAGAATTAAAAATTATTAAAACTTTTACAGACAGACAATATTTTTATTTCATTCAAAAAACTGACAGCTAACTTAAAAATATAAACAATAAATAATCATGAATGTATTCCAACACTCCTCCTCATTCGTGATGCCTTAATCCATTTGTATATATTTTTTATTTGTAAATAAATTGTTTTTTTACTTCATTTTTCTCATTTTTTATTAAATAAAATTTTCACAATTTTTATATTTTTGCTTGTAAACAATAATTGAAGTTTTTATTAAAAATCACCAATGTTAATGATAATAACTTAAGTCAATATTATTCTTTCTCCTTTTTTAAAGCTACTATTAATAAAGGTATTACTTTAGCTTGACCTATGATCAATTTTTAATTTTGTGATATATTTGGTTTGACAGAAAAAAAATTAAAACCCTTTGACATTGGTTGTTTTTACTTAGATTTTCATAAAAAATAAACGGAACTGCAAACATGTTTTACTATCGTAATAACGAATAGCAACATGAAATTTTTTTTCACATTTATCACTGTTGTCATTTTCATAAGAAGGCACACTTTCTGGTTTTTTGAAAAAGGTGGCAAGAATTGTGATATTTTTAAATTTATCACCAGTGATACCACATGTAGTTACCCGATTTATTGGAATATATAGACTTTGTTACCACATTCAACTGAACTTGGTTTTTAATATTTATCACTGTGACATAGGCGTTTTTGTTAAAATGTTTCATTTTAAACTGCTGTAAATAGGTGCCTTTGTTTTGGTAGTTTTAGTCCCAAAAAAATCTATGCATATACAGGTACTCATTCCTCTTCGATTTGCTCGAAAAGTTAAATTTTTATCAAAAATTACATTGGCTGTTTAAAAACTCATTATAAGCCCTGAAATTTGATAATTAGGTAAATTAAATTAAAAAACAAACAAAAAAGTTTATTAAATTAATATTTACTCTTACAAAATAGGTTCTTGTAAGTTAACAAGCAATTATGCAGATATTACTAAGTAAATGTACTTGCTTAAAATTCACACACGAATGTGGTTTTAACATGTTAAATTAACTAACCCTTCTTATAACTCTTTCCACATGTATTCTTAGAGATGCTATTCTTTTACTTAATTGTACATCTTCTGGAGAAGTTTTTTCATTCTGTGATACACTAGGTGTGGCTTTACTAAAGTGTATCCCATGTTTTCAAGTAGCTGATTATTCTAAAACCCCTATCTGCCATTATATGGGATCCAGGAACCAGTTTGTTTAAATACCCACATTTTTCCACTATTTCTTTATCACTAGTTCTTCCACAAAATGATTAATAAATTCGGTATCTTCAAAACTTTCAGGAGATTCTGCATTTTCTTCCAGAAGGGTTTTTAGGTTATACACCTAAGAATTTATAGTAGCCTCATTTTCAATTTCCTGAAGGGGACAATTAGCAGAAATTGCTGCTACATCTTGATAATCCGGTGTATTTTTATTAAAAAGTTCACGAGAAACATCGCTAGTAGAAGGTTGATTTTCTTCTTTCCAAATTTCTAGGAACACTAATAAATATTTTTGAAGATGAATGTGAATCATTATCACATTCTGGAACAAAACACTTTTTCGTAGTCATAATATTTATAAAAAGTACAAAATTAAACAATCAAATTCCAAATAAATTCTTGATGGAGACACTATGATGACAGATGCCAT